ATTGAGCACACGGTTCAGGTCCACGGTGGGAGCAGCGTCCACCTCCACATTGAGGCGGTCTCCAAGTTGGCAACGCAGGGTGTTGACTTCCTGATGGAGGAAGAGAAAGGAATGAACCCACAGAAAGAATTCTGTACATTAAATTCTCCCTGAGGGAGTCGAACGTGGTGGGAAGAGGATGCATTAGAAATTTTGTGGGGTTTTTTGTTTCCAAAGTCAGTTCCCTTTATTAAATGTTGATTTTCACAGACCAGAAATACAAAATAAAAGTAGAAATGGGTTTTGGTTAGGAGCTACAGTCCTGACCTCACGTGACCCCTGCTTGCAGCAACTTGAACAGGACAAGAAACATCTATATTTCAAAGGTCAGGAAAGGAGGACAAGGTTTTGGATCCTGAACTGCCCTGCCTCCCACCCAGTCTCTCCTCAGATTATAAAGAGCCATCCTTGTGAAGCAGCAGAGTGAGGTGCCTCCCCTGCTGCCCCAGCAAAGTTCACACTCGCGGGAGAGCTTGTTAGATGGCGCAGAATCCGAGGACTACGTGTCATATGAGGACGGCGTTGAAGCCCAGTTGATGTAAAACTCAGCTAAGTTATACCTTTTGTGATTCAGGCCTCCTGTCTGAGTCTCTCCCCATCTGTATATGAGGCTGCTTGATTAAATGAGTGCAAATGTTTCTTCCCACTCCAAGAGTCTATTATTTCTTTCGTATTTTCCCTTTGGTCGGTGATAAACCTGGCATGATAACTGGTTTATATTTGCTGCCACTTAAATATAGAGAAACTAGTTTTAACTCCTACCATTTACTTCATTTTCTCTACCATCACACACTATCCATGAGAGGGTATTTCTTCTTCACCTAATGTTTGAGACATGTATCTGATATCCTAGTATTACCATGAGGTCTGAATCAACCATTACTTCAGTTCCTTCATTTCTCCCATTTTTTCCATCCATCCATCCATCCATCCATCCTTCTGTCCAAGCTGGGTTCTAACATCTAGGTGGCACATAATATAAGAAAGTTTGCTATCTCCTGCCAATCTTAGTCATTAACGTAGCATCTATTGAGAGGATCATTGATCTGATCAAACAGTAGAAAGTATTTTGAAGACCTTTATGCGGCCTTTTGGCCACATATCTGGGCCCCAAATGGAAACAGGCCAGCTGATCATACTCTTTTAGGTAAAAGAGATAAGCTTTCCTAACAATCCTCTGAGGGTATTTTGCGTAACCAGCAAAATATTGTGTTAGCTCTAGGATGCTTAGCAAACAACCACCTTATCCCACTCAAGGGAGTTACAGGAATTTCAATACAGGGATGTTGGGGGCTGGGACTCCCTCACCTGCTCGTGGTTTTGCTTGAGGCAGAGCAGCTCCTCCTTCAGGGACTCCACCTGGGCCTCCAGGTCAGACTTGCACAGGGTCAGCTCATCCAGAATCCTCCGCAGGCCATTGATGTCTGACTCCACCAGCTGCCGCAAGCCCAGCTCCGTCTGGTACCTACATACAGCCAAGGGTCAAAGCAAGTCAAAGAAGAAGACTTTTTCCTGGACTTTACTAGGCTAACCTGGTCAATTTCACTACATTTTGCAATACTTGGAATTTTTTGAACTTTTCTCAAAGGGAAGAAAATATCCCTGTGCAGAGTGAAAAGACCTATTTCCTCCCTGAGACCCACAGAGAAGATATTGGTGGGGCGCCCTTCTATAGTTTTCATCTATAATTCATTGCAGTTGGCCTAAGATGCCCAGTCACAGGCTGCTATCAATGAAGCCCTGTCCTCTTGCCTTCTTAAGTGAGTTGGTGAATTTCATTAGTCACCATCCTTTCCCAACCACCCTGAGAAGCAGCCTGGTATCGTGAGAGAAGCACTGAATTAGCAGGCAGTGAGATTCAACCCTGCCCTTAGGACTGTGGATGAGCCCTTCATCTCTCTAGTCTCGATTTCCTCATTTGTAAAATGGGGACCAGACGATCACGTCATCAGCTTGGCCTGAATATGAATAAATGGCATGGGTAGAACTACCTTGTAAACTGTAAAGTTCTATAAAACTACAAAGGTCTGTTAGGATTGTCATCGTTATCCCAAGAAAAGCTGATTGATTCTCTGAAATGGATTTTGCCTCCTACATTGTCATTTAACTTTTTTCTGATGGGCTGATAATGACTAAATTATATTAAGAGAATGGTGTGAAATTCACTTTTTAACTCAGTCCAGACACTAAAGCTGAAAAAGAGAAAGAATGGATGGTTTCTTGGGCTGCTGTGAACTAAACTTAAGACACAGAATTCTTGCTTTCAGTGAGGAGATTAACTGACATTTAAACTAACTAACCCAGTGCAAGAATCACCCCCCTCTCATCACAGACAGCTCCTGCTTGCAAGCTCCCAGGACAGAGTTCATCACTTTGCAATTCTGCCTGTCCATTACTAGCTTGCTCCAATCATTAGAAAAATCTTACTTGGTCCTGAAGTCATCTGCGGCCAGCTTGGCGTTGTCAATCTGCACCACCAGCCTGGCGTTTTCTGCCTTGCTACACAGGATCTGGGGACAGTATTCATTGTGCAATTAGTTATAGTAAGAATGAATGCCTTATCACTTAAAGTGAGGGGCAATTACCTTTCAAATACACATTCTTTCCAAATAGCTTTGAATCTTCTCAAATTTTCAGTTTGGGGATAAAGAGAGGATTAATTAATAGAACCGATCATTCCAAAACTGAAACGTCAAGAGGAAATGTGTCCTTTGTCATGAATTCTTCTCTTCTCAGTCTGCCTCTGGCTTCCAGCAGGATATTGAGTCTGCTGGGTACCAACCCTCACAGAGGGTGACTAGCCTCCCAGTTTGCTTAGGACTAGAGGGTTCCCGGGATGCTAAACCCAGAAAAATCCCAAGCAAACCAAGACAAGTTGGTTATCCTACATTCACACTCCTTCATTCCAGCCCTGCTGACCTCTCTCCACTCTCCCTTCGTATTTTCCTGGACAAGACTTTTGCACAAAGCTTCTGCATCTACTTGGAATGCCTGGGATGCTCTCATCCACCTCGCAAGACCCCCTGCATAACCCATGTTCCCCTTCCATCCCCAGTTTCTGCAGGAAGTCGCTTCCTCCACATGCTCCCACAGTACCTTGCATGTAGCCAGTTACACTTCTTATCATCACCTTTGCTGAGGTCATTTGCTTCCATGTCTGTCTCGCCTATTAGACTGTGAACTCCCAAAGGAAAGGGACTGTCCTACTCAGAACTTTATCCCTCACTCCAGCACTGCGCCTCATACTCCCTAAATGCAGGTCAATGAATGTGTGATTTTCAAGTCCCACAGCCTCTTTCTGGCATTCACTTTGCCAGAACCACTGAATCATGGACAGTCATTTCTCTCGGAGAATCAAGGGCTTGTGCAATCGAATATAAACTCCTGTTCATCCTTCAAACCCCGCTCAGAAATTGCCGCTTCTGAGAAGCCCTCCCTGATATACACCATGTAGTAAGTCCCACTTTTATGCCAACCCTTTCCTTTCCTCACTTCTACTCCCGGATTCTCATCTTGTATGCACGCCTGCTCTGGCCCATGGTCCATGTGTCTCTGCATATTAGTGAGGCTTCTGGAGTCAGTAGCTCTTTTGCTTTGTTAGAGACAGTCTCTTACTTTAGCTTTGAAAATCTTTAAATATTTGAGGATTCACTCTGGAAATTCCTAGCTCCAAGAAATAATTCAGGTACATGTTACTATGTTTTTCATGCTACAGGCTCTGAAAACAAGACTGGAATATCATAATAGGACTAAAGAATCAAACAATCTGCTTTTAGGTAAGAAGCAATATTAGATTGCTAAAACTGATATCGGACTAATGCCTTATCCTCTCCTCTCAGTCTGTAGCCTTCCCTCCTGGGGCTTCCCACATAGATTTTCTAAGACAATGTGTCGTACGTAAGCCAATGTAGTCTCTGTATCACTTTCAACATTAGCTTTGAACCCTCTTAAATCCATTCAGAAGTGGGTATGGTAAATCTGGATAAGTAATTCACCCAACTGGCAGCGGGGTGCCCAGCCCCTCACCTTCTGCTGGAGCTCCTCGATGGTCCGGAAGTAGGACTGGTAGTTGGGGCACACCAGGGGCTCCTGCTGCTGGGACCGCTCCCGGATGCGGCTCTCCAGCTCCGCGTTGTCCCGCTCCAGCTGCCGCACCTTCTCCAGGTAGCTGGCCAGGCGGTCGTTCAGGAACCGCATGGTCTCCTTCTCATTGCCATTGAAGGAACCCTCGCAGAACCAGTTGCAGCTGCTCACGTTGGCGGGGATGTTGCAGGCCCCGGGCAGGGTGCAGCCGTGACAGCTGGGGGGCACGCAGGGCCGGGAGGAGCAGCTGGAGCGGCAGCTCAGGTTGGGCAGGCAGCAGCTGTAAGGCATGGTGCTGGACAGAGCAGGGCTCAGAAGGTCAGTTCCAAAGCCTGATTCCTTTTCTCTGGTGCTAAGTCCTTTCCAGGTCTTTATATCCTGTCAGCTGTGGGTGTGGCAACCACGGATGGCATTACCCTCTTTGGCTCTCTTTACCAACTTTTCCAGCTTATGTAGCCACCTCACACGAGTCCTTGACCTCATAAAATGTTTTATTCTGGCTTCTTGCTAAGTTAGGACTCATCACCAATCATGCTGGTTGGTTAAGGAAGAGCATCAAAGGGACCAACCCATTGTCTTGCCAACAACAGCGCTTATTCATGGGGTGTTGAGTTAGAGCGACAGCTGTGCCCTGTCCTCCAGAGTTGAGGGCACTTCTGTGCCTCTTTCCCCTAAGCAAGGAGAGGTCTGCAGCTCCTCCAGCTCATACTCAGTAAGGACTCTGTGAAGAAACCAGACTGCTCTAGAGGGAATCCTGGAAGCTGAGGTCAGAAAGGACTGATGAGACCAATCCAGTTCAGTGGCCCTTCACTGTATGGAGGCAATTCTACCCTCCTCCCATGGGGCTTCAGTAATCCCCCCAGCTCCATTTCTGCACCCATTCAATGTTCACAGAACATTAAGAAAGCTAACATCTTGGGAGCACCTCCTCTGAAGGAAGACACACTTGTACACCCTATGGTGGTGTTTGGCTCCCTCTTTCTGGGCAGCCACTGCACCAAGTGTCTTCTCTGCATTATCTCCTTCAAACCTCACAAAACCCTGCAGGGTTTGCAGATGAGAACACCAAGCCTTGGGGAGGTTGCCCAGGGTCACAGAGCTATTACGTGATGGCGCCAGCATTCAACCCAGATCGCTCTGATTCCAATGGCTGCACCCTCTCCATCACATTGTGTCTCTCTTCCAATCTTCTCACTACTGAGATGCAATGATATACAAATGGATTCAGTTCAGTGGGGCTCCACCTGGACAACATCCCCTCCTAAATTAGAACAGGACGAGAAGTGAAAGTGTGTTCTCTATTGAAGAACCAAGGGTCATTTCTACACTAATGGAAGGAAGTCTACTTTTTGGGGTGGGGGTCTACTTATAGGGTCTACTTATTTATTTGTTTTTAGAGGCAGTACTGAGGATTGAACCCACAACCTTGTGCATGCTAACACTTGAGCGTATAGCTCCCCCAACAGGAAGTCTACTGAGTGAGAAAATGTAATGCCCACTAAAAGCCTGAAAAAAGGAAATCTTAGTTGATTCGACATCAAAACACCTGAGTTCAGTTTTCCAAAGGATGTGACCTTAAAAGCCACCACAACGTTACACACTTAATGATATCTTGTGACCATCAAGACATTTTGACAAACAGATGTTCTGCAATTATGTTCTTCCAGATGGAGCTATGAGCCATGAGGGTTTTATGGGTAATCTATCAGTACTCAAAATATGAAAAAAAATACTCCTTAAATTAGTTCCTTTTGGAAGCTACCTGCTAAATCCTCCCATACAGCCATCACTCAGATCATCGCTTCTTCAAACTTGCCCTCAAAGGCCAGGACAGTTTCTTTTGGTTATCCTCACTGATGGCAAATCTTCATCTTCTGGAGGTGTGCTTGTTTTTGGAATCATCCAAGTCTCATTTGGAACCAAGCCTAGCAAATGGGATAAACAACCAAACTGAGCAGCCTCTTTAATGTGTCAGAAACACATTGTGATGGTAAAGTGATAATGTATGTTTTCTTGGGTGATTCTAAAAGTCATTTCCAAGGTGGAACTTCAAATATACTTTCATAAAGGGCAGCAGCTTTGGAGTAAAGGGATATCTCCCAGAGTGTATGTTTTGAAGACGTTGACATCCTTACATTTACAGTCCACATCCTTCTGCCCCTTCCACCTGAATCTCAACCTTTGGAGAGAAGTGAAACAGGTGTGTTGGTATAAAATCACTACCAAACTGATTGAAGCCCTATTGGGTGAGATCAGAGAACATAAAGCAAATAGCTGGGTTCATTTGCTTTTCTCTCTCTCCCCTTCTCCTATGCCCCAAGCTCCAAAAGACAAAAATTTAGACAATGGCACTTTTTTAAGAGTAGGAAAGGACTACTGTATTGTAGACTGGTAAATATGTCCATGGAGATCCTTCAAACCATTACTGTAGCTTCTATCTAAGTCAGAATGGAATAATCCGGAAGCATCCTTGGATCTTCAAAAATGTAGGACAGAGTTTAGGAAGCACAATCATTGCCATATCGTTAGAAGTGACCATGACTGCTGCATAGCTACATGGTCTTTAGATAATGATGGTGAAGAGGATTTGGGTCTATTGAGAAAAAAAGCCAAGTTTCAATTAACTTCCCAGAAATTCTGGAGGACAGCTACTTCTTATTTATTCCACTTACTGTGTGCTGTGAGTTCTTACCTTCAAATAAGCAATGGCATTGTTCCTAGTCAATGACCCTTCAATAAACATGATGAGCAAATCACATCCTAACACACAGAAAGGTTTTACACCTGCCCATGTAATTGTGGTAGACGCCATGGGAAAGCTTCTGGTCTTCAGATGTGAGCAAATTGCAGCTGAGGTTTTAGGATTCTCTTTATTATGGAAGCCAAAGCTATTTCCGTGGGAGACGTCACACGCAAACTCTTAACCACGGAGTAGAGTCAGGGTAGATCTGCTGAGGCCATCCTCCCTGTGGCTGGACTTTAAAGGGATCAAGAGGCCTCCATCCTCCTTTCCAAAATCTTCTTCCCTGATGGCCAGGTACTACACCTGAAATTCTCACCACGAGAAACGTAAAATATATTCTTCGGGAAATGCAAAGGAACATATTGAGCCACTTATCAATTAGTGATATTTTAACGTGTACAAATGACCAGGAGAGACCAGGAGTGGTATCACTGGGCACGCACAGACCAGGGGGACTGACTTATGCCAAAGAGAGATGAAGAGGCACCCGCTGGGGAATTAGAAACTCAGAAACACTGTTCAGTATCAACACCAGCCCACCATGCCCAGCCAGCCCCGGTTGGAGCTGCCTATAAGAACAAGATAAGGGGTTTCCACAGGTGGTTCCATAAGGCAACCGTTGCAAATTTACTAATTTCCCAGCCTTGCTACATTCAGGGGAGAAATTGTGATGGTAATCCAGGGACTAAGCCAACAGGTTTGTGTCTGAGAAGATGCTCAAAAAGGATTTCCAATGAGAAACGGGAAGTAAAGGACATGGAGAATGAGCCAGCCCAAGAGTAAAGTGGGCTGTGCAAAGAGAGGTACAGACACCTCAAAATGGGATTCAGGGCCGTTGCCCAAAACCTCTCCAGAGCCACCACTGTTTCTCTTACAGTTGGTCCTGGACTCCCAATAGGGGTGGAGTCCTGGTGGGAATCCTCAGCGACAAACCAAGTCAAAAAAATGCAGAGTTCTTCAGTATGTTTTTAACTCTACCCAGTCTAGAATACAGGAGTCAAGAAGATCATAAAACAATCCAGGACAATGTAATTTATTGGTCCTAGTCTCCTGGGTGGAGCTGGAATCAGAAAAGAAATGAAAACCTGTCTATGTAGCATCTTTGTAACTTGAAGGGAAAAGTAGATGCTAAAACATTTTTCATAGCACACAGAGGATAATGCAAAGTAAGCTCCAAGTTTACTATGAATGTGCTGTGTTGAACTTTTGCATTAAGTTCTCTACTGAGTTAGGGCTTTGAAACAGATGTGAAGAAGCCATAAATTATGGCTCCTTCCCCCAGCTTCCCACAGACCCTCCTTATAGTCTCCAGTGATCTTCCCCCTGCTGTGTCCAGTGGATCTGTCTGAATCCTCATCTTCCTTGACCTGGATGCTTTTGACCATGCCCTCATCGAAACTCCAGCTTCTTTTGACTTCTGAGCATCTCTGCTTCCCTCTCCAACTGCTTATGATCAGATGTCCTCTCTGTCCTCAGAGACCCGGCTCAATCAGAGCAGAGGCTCGTGTCGGGCAGTTTGAAGAGCTGCAGGCCCGCCTCTGTCATCTCCATCAGTGGTTCCCAGGGTTTTTTCCTGCACTCACATCTTCCTCTTACAGTGTAAACAACTCCCACAGCTCTATTATTGTCTTTATTTAGGTAACTCTCAACATCTCTCCCAAATCTAGTCATTCTTTCCCAGCTCTCTCCACTGGAGACCCACTGTTGTTTCGTTTTCTAAATCTCAAAAACTTACTCATGTTGACTATCCTAGGTATTCTATCAGTACTAGTTGCCTTCCTTCTCTCTACCTCCAATCAGCTTCCATATCCCAGGCTATGCCTCTGAAACCCACCCCTCCCCTGCCCCATCACCCCCCCACCTCCACCCATCTCAGTCCTTGCTGTCTCTCACCAGCCTCCTGATTGATCTTCCTTCCTTCCCACCCAATCCCACCAACTTCTAGGATCACGACTCAGCCTGTACATAGCTGCCTTAGAGATCCTAGGTCTACCTTCCTTACAAGCTCATCTTACAGGTAGCCACTCAAAGCACTGCCAGATGTAGTCCTCCCTAACTATTTTGCAGTTTCATCTTCTGCTACCACATTTATCCTCTGCTCCTGGCTAGGAATTGGTCTGTCAGGCTCTAAACACATCCCTGGTTGCCTCATCTCCTTACCAGGCAAAATTCATGCCTAAAAAAACTTTCCCTGTTCTCAGACCTGCACACACTCATCCATCCAAATGTATCCCATCAAACTGTATTTCAGAATTATGCTCATATCATACAATAATTTTTTATCTTTTTCTTAGCAGTAATTCTTTGCTCTTTTTTAACCTTTTTTAGTGATTTATAATCATTTTACAATGTTGTATCAAATTCCAGTGTACAGCACAATTTTTCAGTTATACATGAACATATATATATTCGTTGTCAATTTTTTTCTCCATGAGCTACCATAAGATCTTGTATATATTTCCCTGTGCTATACAGTATAATCTTGTTTATCTATTCTACAATTTTGAAATCCCAGTCTATCCCTTCCCACCCTCCGCCTCCCTAGCAACCACAAGTTTGTATTCTATGTCTATGAGTCTATCAGTAATTGTTGATTGAAGTTGCAACTATGGGAATTATTTAAAGTTCTAATTACCTTCCCCTGAATCCTCATTAGTGTTACTGTTCCTTATTTATGCCACTTACAGTGTTCCATGATTTACACTAAGCTTTACTTAGGTGAAGATACAGTCTCTCTTGCAGGGCCTATGGTCAACAACACAGGCAGACAAAACTTACATGAATAGAATGTTTGGGTTTTCAGAGCTTTGATCGAGTGCTACCTCCTTCTTGGAGTCTCTTCCTAACCCTTTCTCACACCTCAGAATTTCATCATTCTTTACTTACACCTTTCTTGAGCCACATTGATATTTGTAAGACAGCTGTCTCTTTGTCTTATCCACTCTAGACTGTAAACGTGCTGTGGGCCAGGACTGGGGTTCACTTATATGTGTGTTCTCAGCCCCCCACATGGTACTGGCACACACAAGGGATGATTGACTGCACTTGTGTCAGTCAGCATTCAATTGAAAGAACCACTAAAATGTTGGCCAACAGAATGGAAAGTGTTGAATTCCGAGATGAAGCAAGTGTGGGATGGGGTAGAATTAATGTTTGCTGGTTGAGACCATTGGCCTCTCCTAGAATTTAGAAAATGAAATGACAAAGCAGTTATGGAAGAACATTATAGATATGAGCAAAAACCTAGAGAAAAGAATAAACTTGAAGAGAGGGAAATAAAGAGAACACTTGTCTGCAGCAAAGGACCTTCAGATGACAAAATGTTGAGTATAACAAGTAGGTAACAAGATGGACCAGTTCGGCAAAGATAAGTTTTAGTCCAACTCAATGTGATGTAACGTTTTGATACCAAGTGAAACTGTCCTTTGTGTGAAGACCTGGAACTTAAGCAGAGGTGAGAGCAAGATTGGAAGTCATCAGTGTAGAGGTGCTAGTTCTCCCTGAGCAAGGATATAACCAGGATGCAGAAGGAGAAAAACATAGAGTCAAGGATCTAGACATTTCCTGCATTTGAGAAAGAAAGGGGAAGACAGACTAATCAGGAGACCAAGAACAGGTAGTTGGAGATACAACAAGAGGATCCAGAGTGTGAAGGGTGATGGAGGTCATTGAAGGTACCTTTTGAGGGAAGGGCAGGTCTCTATATTGGTGATGCAGGTACAGCCAAGAGATTGAGAGGAGAGAGTAGTTCCTCTTTGAGCAGTTTCTACAGAAGCTAGTCTTCACAGTTAGGGAGAAATGGAAGCAAAGAACTCTAGACTGATGGGGTGGGAATGAGAGAGACCTGTGAGATTTGGGGAGGATTCTCACAGTTGCATCCAAGGCAAGAAGAACATGAGTTTTAAAGGCCAAATTTTCTGCATGGTCTCCCTTGGTGGGAGCCTCCCAGGAGGACAGCCCTCCCTTTCCATCTGTATTTACCAGTGAAATATAATGGCTGGCTCAGTCACTGAACCCTTGTCATCCCCCTAATGAAGAGGTATTTTTATGAAACAGTCATGACAAGTACTTTACAATGCATGAATACAAATGAGAAACACGTTTACTATGCCAGAGAAATAAAGTTTATTGGGGAGTAAATGAAGTAGCCTCCTTGCATTCCAGAGACTACCAAAGAAGCTAGGAAAGCAGGGAACATAATACGTACAGGAAATGCCCTAAAGTAAAACCTGGAGCTCAGATTACAGAGAGCTGGACGTCTTCAGAGATAGAGACACAACCTTTAGCAAGAGGGAGTTTTCCAGACACTGGAAGTTGATGATGTGTGTCTTAGCTCATGGGTCTGGGGAGCGTCTCCATGTGTAGAAATATCACAGCTGGCTTGACGAGGGATCCAAATGGTAACTGAGATCCAGCAAAGGTAGGACCTTTCCTGTGCTTGATCTAGGCTCCATTGTCAGTTTCAAAGAGGATGCAAGTTTTAAAAGCAACGTTTTTGAGAGCAGGGCCCGCAGGAGTTGCTGCTAGCATTGGTGGTGGCGCATGGGTTGCAGGGGAGTCTGGGAGGACACAGAAGTTTAGAATGAGTTGGGGAGAGGAACTGAGAGAGCTGGAAGGTGCTTAATGAGACACATCTGAATTCTCAGTTCAGGCTGGAGTTAGTTGGAATCAAATTTGATTGCTACCGAATCCCTCTCCCTGTCCCAGAATGCCATGTGCAGAGGTAAAAAATTATCCTTTTGAGAAAAAATTATATACCTTATGAGTTATAATGAGAGTGTTATGAACAGCTAGCAAGTATTCATGATAAGGAAGAATAAACTGAGATGAAAAAAATTTTTTGAATTATCCTTTTGAAAAATATTATCTCATGCTCTTGAGATCTCATGGAATGTAACACAGTCTGCCTTCCCCAAGAGTTGAGTAACAGTCTCTACCAGCATCCCTCCACTGTTAGCTCCCTGAGGCAGGAGAGGAATGCCATTCACCTTTGACCTTCCACATCTACTAAACTGTCAGAATAGACACTCCATGGACGTGTGCTATTTGATAAGTTGAAAATACGGCCAACATGTGTGTGCCCACAATGTCATATGGTCCCACCACTCTTTTTTCCAAAATTCCTTCCCCTCG